AGGTAGGATTCCTTACATTTCCCTTCTCTGTCTCTCTCGTGCGGGCGGCCGACGTCCCGTGTAAGCGACCTCTTGTTCGTGTGTCTTCATTTCTGTTGCTTTTCACCTGTCCCTTCTTGTTACCTGTTCCTCCTTTTCACCTGTCCCTCCTTGTCACTTCGTCTCTTTGAGATGCTAACGCTGCTTCTTTAGAGCCAGTTTCAGCGGGCTGGACATCTGAGACCTTCCGCCCCTTGTGGGTGATGAATAATTGAGACCTTCCACCTCTATGGTGATGTTCATCTTGACTTACGGTGCGAGATAGCTAAATAGCTGAAGCGCTAGTAAACATTTGGCCACTAAACTAACTAACTAGAAGAGACATCTGTTTCAGCAGCTTCAGGCAGCTGGACCAAGATGGTTTTATTTTCCCTGGCCAAACTAATGTGTTCTAAAAGTGCCTCGTCATTCATCATTTTCTCATCATTTTTCATCAGAGGTGAAGTAGAATTTAAGAACACCGAGATATTTGCAGTGAATTGGGGGTTTGAAAGCCGCAGTGAGATTATATAAGTTTATAATACATTGAAGAATGCGTCGCAAAAAATACAGTTGCAAGGTGATCCGGACAGTTTAGTTGACTGGGCTGATACGTGCATGGCAGCTTTATTTTAATGCTGATAAGTGTAAATTAAAATTAAAAATCCACCTTGGCCAGAATAATGAACAGCAAGATTACAATATGAGAAGACACGGTTGCAACGAGAGAGGGCTGATGTCGAAGTCGACAATGGAAATTTTTTAGGATATTATGTGGACAATGAGTTGAAACTTTCCAAGCATATTGAAGGTCAAGTTAATAAAGCAAATCAACGACTTGGACTGATCAGACGCTCTCACAAGTACCTAGATGCAGAAGCGATGAAGCAGTTGTTTTTTGCTGTCGTGCGCCCGAACCTAGAGTTTGGAAACGTTGTGTGGTCACCAAACCTAGAAACTGACAAAAATTTTGTCGAGAGTGTTCTAAGACGTGCAACAAGGATAATTCCGGGATTAAAAGGCAAGTCTTATGAAGAAAGGTTAAAGATTATTAAGCTTCCAAGCCTCAGTTATCGACTTCTGCGTGGGGACCTCATTGAAGCATTCATGGCTTACTAGAAGTATTACTAGAATTTGAAACAAGAACCAATGCCAGGGGTCACGGCTATAAACTAAAAAAAATGCGTTGTAACACATCCGTGCGACGAATATATTTTTTCGCTTCGAGGCACCGACATGTGGAACAGCCTCCCTGATAGCATCGTTGAAGCTCCGAGTATGAACGCCTTCAAGAACAAACTAGCCGAAGCTATGCAGGAGCATATGTTCAGTCTTAAAATGCTTAGCAAATTACGGACCAGGCAATAAGTACAGCAGCTATCTCAATCAATCGTCAGTTATGGAAAGATCGGGTTCCAAAGGCTGGATCCCTTGTGAATCAAGTCACGAAAAGTACAAGAATCGGCAACAGGCCATGGGCCTATTTCTTCAGTGCCGACACTTCTATTATATTCTATGAACAAGAATCGGCAACAGGCCATGGGCCTATTTCTTCAGTGCCGACACTTCTAATCTATATCACCAGTAGGGCAGCGTAATGAGAGTAGTAAAATATCTCTTTACAAATTGCAAAGAAATTAGAGTACATACATTGCAAACTGATGACCTGATCATACTGAGACCTATATAAGCTATATTAAAGAATGAAATGATAGGAGTAACCAGCATCATTCAATTTGTAAATATTACTTGATATTACTTGAGGAGCGGCTAGCAAGATGACGGCTAGGCAGTACCGCTGGGCCCAGGGTGGCCCAGTGGCCCAGGGTGGCCCAGTGGTTACAGTTCAGAGTACCAAGATTGGCGCAGAGAGGCGCGGGTTCGATTCCAGCTCTGTGCGCCAGTTTCTGGTCAGAATCGGCGAGGAGATGCTGTGAATGTTCTGCGATGTTAAGAATCGGCGACAGGCCCACGGCCTAATAAACGCTGAAACCGCTATTATTATTATTATTATTATGAGAAATAATCTCAGCACCCGAGCCTAACGGAACTTGTTCCGAACGCGACACCTATCAGTTGCCAGATGTTTTCAGACACGTGTAGTGGCTCGAGAAGTCTGCCAATGGCTAATATCGTAGTTTTAGTTTTATAGAAACCATTAATGAATTTGCATATGATGAATTTATATTACCTATATAAAAATTTTCCGAATTTTTGCGTGTCACTGTTATAAGGCGAATTCTTGTTGAAGTATATAAATGGTTACAGTGGCATCTACGGTTTAGGATGCCCAACATTTGCAAGAAACGTTTAGCGAAAAGGCTAAAAGAATCAATATTCATTTACTAATATGTATGCAAAAGATTTGATGTGAAGAAAAAAGTGCAGTAAAAGTGTTTAAGAGGAACGAGTCAAGTTCTTTTATTAGTTTTCACGAAAAGATAGCTTATTAATTGTGATAGCACGATTAGTGTCGTTCGTTCATTCTGTGTTTAACTTCCGACGAGTGTGGTTAACCGGATCGACACTTCTCCGAACTGGCCAGCGGACTCGAACGCAAAACCTTACCTTGCGCTCAACCGAATTAGTCGAAAGTCCATGAGTGGTTCCATTGAGCGTAATGTTAGATTTTGCATTTGAGCTGGCGGGCGAGTTGGTAGAAGTGTCGATTTGGTGCAAGGCTAGTGTTCTCAACGACCAAAGTCGTTGTCGTGGATCGTGTCATGATCATTAACAAATTAGACGTTTTAGACCTGATAGAAAGAAAAAATCCTTTTTGATTCCAGCGGAAAGCTTTTACGACTTATTAGTGATTATGACTTACAAGTTTTGTTTAAGGAAATTACGATGTTAGTGTTACAAGCACGACCATTCCACTCGTCGCTTTACTTGAGTTACTCCGGTAATTGTTTTTTTTTGGGGGATTTGTCGAGGGGTTACTCATATAAAGCTGTACAGTTTAATATATTAAACACATTCACAACTAAATTTCAAACCTACATTTAGCATAGAATTTTAGAAATGTTCTTACACATAATTAAATCTACAAAGTCACAAGAAAATATTACATTTTTACCCACTGTTAGTATTTTTTTTTCACTCTATTATGTTTTACTTTATACTTGTGTAAGTTGCGTATTACTTGGACAATTCAACGTGCAAAACAAGAAGGTTAAGATGTGAAAAATTGCACAAATAATTTTATGTCTAAAATATAAACTATATTCACCTTTTATACTTAGCTGATTTTAAATGTTACTTGACATTCACCTGATCAAGTTTCCAGGTTGGATCGATCATGACTAAATGAACAACTACTTCTAGAATCCCACATGGCATGGACCTGACATTTTATTTTAGTATGGATTAGGGGCATAAGGCATCGCTTAAACTCACTTTAAAGAGAGAAAATAAGATTAGGATACAAATTAAAATGATTTCTTTCGATTCGATTCGTTTCAATTTTGATTTTCGTTTAAAAAGCTAAAAAAATAAACATTTCTTTCCAATTTTGAAACGGTAGGTTCCTATTTCTAACAACATTGCTATAACAGTAGGGGTTATAGTATCAACATTAGCAATGAGAAAACGAGAGACTAGAATTTCAAGAATTACTCCCGGACTAATGGGGCAGGCTGGAGCGCCTGGAGCAGGGCTACTGAGGCAGGCTGAAGCGCCTGGAGCAGGGCTACTCGGGCAGGCTAGAGTGCCTGGAGCTGGACTACTGGGACAGGCTGTAGCGCCTGGAGCCGAATCACTGAGGCTGGATAGAGCACGAAAAGCCGAACTAGCTGCACTAATGAGGCAGGCTGGAGCGCCTGGAGCTGGGCTACTGGAGCAGGCTGGAGAGCCTGGAGCTGGATCACAGAGGCAGGCTGGAGCGCCTGGAGCTGGACTACTGAGGCAGGCTGGAGCGCCTGGGGCCGGATCACTGATGCAGGCTGGAGTTCAAGGAGCTGGACTACTGAGGCAGGCTGGAGCTCCTGGAGCCGGACTACCGAGGCAGGCTGGAGCGCCTGGGGCCGGATCACTGAGGCAGGCTGGAGTTCAAGGAGCTGGACTACTGAGGCAGGCTGGAGCTCCTGGAGCCGGACTACCGAGGCAGGCTGGAGCGCCTGGGGCCGGATCACTGAGGCAGGCTGGAGTTCAAGGAGCTGGACTACTGAGGCAGGCTGGAGCTCCTGGAGCCGGACTACCGAGGCAGGCTGGAGCGCCTGGGGCCGGATCACTGAGGCAGGCTGGAGTTCAAGGAGCTGGACTACTGAGGCAGGCTGGAGCTCCTGGAGCCGGACTACCGAGGCAGGCTGGAGCGCCTGGGGCCGGACTACAGAGGCAGGCTGGAGTGCCTAGA